TTTTAGTAGAGACAGGGTTTCACCATGTTGACCAGGATGGTCTTGATCTCTTGACCTCGTGATCCACCCGCCTCGGCCTCCCAAAGTGCTGGGATTACAGGCGTGAGCCACCACGCCCGGCTGGGGTTTTTTTTTTAAAGAAGTTAATACAGCACACCAACTTCTTTCTTTTGCTGCTTTGAGGTAGCAGGCATAACTGCAGTTAGAGGTGGAGTCGTAGCCTGGGTTTACATCTGCTGCTGCACCCACCTAGTTTGCTGGCCTGCTATAGGCCTCCTGTGGCTCCCCCTGGATGTATGTGGAAGGAATCTGGGAGGACATTGGGTCTTGTTTGTCCACAGGCTCCACGAAGCTCCCTCCCACCAAGTTCTTGCCACAGTGGCCCATAGGAAACCTTCTGGTCAGGTGCTATTTATGCCTAAGCTAATTGTGTTGCTCCCACTGCTCACCCAAGGACTTCGCAAAACGCCCCCGTTTTGCTGGTTTTCCTGGAGGGAGAAATATGAGTCTGGGGGGAGGAGGGTGTCAGGGAGTGTCCAGACACTGAAACGTTTGCTTTTGCCTTGCAGAGCAAGCAGCCTGTAATCACAGAACAGGTGAGCGTTCCTGAGCCCCCATCCCTTGTACTTGACATTGCAAAGGGTGAGTTGTTTATTTTCTTTTAAACCACAGGTCAAAGGCATAACCTCCTTCCAGCTGCTCAATCCTGGAACGTACACGGTGAGAATAAGAGCCCAGGAAACCTATGATCAATTCTGGAGCGCCTGGAGCAGCCCCCAGCGCTTCGGTGAGTGGGGTGAGTGGGGCGCCTCTCCTGTCTCCCTCACAGGTGAGTGGAAGCTGCACGCACCCTGCCTCAGCCTCCCAAGTAGCTGGGATAACAGGTGCACATCACCACGCCCGGCTAAGTTTTTTGTGTTTTTAGTAGAGACGGGGTTTCGCCATGTGGGCCAGGCTGGTCTCGAACTCATGACCTTGTGATCCACCCACCTCGGCCTCTCAAAGTGCTGGGGTGACAGGCGTGAGCCACCGCGCCCGGCCCGTGTCAGTCTTTTCGTATCTACACAATCGGGTGAAATGTCATTAGGAACTGAAGGGCCATTGAGAGGAGTGACCTTTCCCTTTCACGAGGGGAGTTCAGAGAACACTCTGCTCTGCCCACTCTCGGGGAAGGCCTGCCATGACCCCGGCCTGTCCGCAGACATCCAGGACCTTAAACGCGCCTCTGTGGTGCTGCGGTCCCGCGGTCACCACCCTTGTCCCCTTTCATGTTCTGCTTTCCCACCCGGAGCTGCTTTTTAGTTCTTAGAAATCATGAGAAGTAAGAATAGAGGAATCACGCCTGTCACCCCAGCACTTTGGGAGGGCTGAGGCGGGCGGATCACAAGGTCAGGAGCTCGAGACCGGCCTGGACAACATGGCCAAACCCCGTCTCTACTAAAAATGCAAAAATCAGCCTGGCGTGGTGGCGGGCGCCTGTAATCTCAGCAACTGGGGAGACTGAGGCAGGAGAATCGCTTGAACCCGGGAGGTGGAGGTTGCGGAGAGCGGAGATCATGACACTGCATTCCAGCCTGGGCCACAGAGCGAGACACCGTGTCAAAGAATATATATAAAAATAAAAAAGAATAGAGGAATCCTAAAAGCCTTTGATGTTTCTGCTAAGTACGTTGAAGGATGCTGACGTGGTCTGTAGTGGCATCGCGTGATTTGCTGGACCCTGTAAATCATGTCAGAGGTTCACTCTGCTGACCCTGCACCCCTGCACTGTATCCAGTAAATATCAGCACATCCAGGCATTGGACTGCGTGCCTTGGTGGTACCGGTCCCCAGCGCCCAGCTGGACTCTCTCTCTCTTTTTTTTTTTTTTTTTTTTTTTGGGACGGAGTTTCGCTCTTGTTACCCAGGCTGGAGTGCAATGGCGCCATCTCGGTTCACCGCAACCTCCGCCTCCCGGGTTCAGGCAATTCTCCTGCCTCAGCCTCCTGAGTAGCTGGGATTACAGGCACGCGCCACCATGTCCAGCTGATTTTTTGTATTTTTAGTAGAGACGGGGTTTCACCGTGTTGACCAGGATGGTCTCGATCTCTTGACCTCGTGATCCACCCGCCTCGGCCTCCCAAAGTGCTGGGATTACAGGCTTGAGCCACCGCGCCCGGCCTGGACTCTCTCTTATCTCTGTGTCTTTCTGTCCTTCCATCTATGTCTGCACGAAAAACAGCACCCAGTAGACCCTCAGGGGCTGGACCCTGAGGCTGTCACTTCTGGGGTGTAAGTGCTCAGTTTAGGTCCCTGGAATGCACTGGAGAGTCATCTGTGTGGTGAGGACGAACGCACGGGTCAGGAGGAGGTTCCCGCTGGCCGCCACCCTGCCTGGCCGCCACCTCTCTGCTGCCCAGCGCCCCGGGGAGAGCGCACAGCACGTGGTCCCCTCAGGGCGGCCCCTGGTCGCTGACCCTGTCACGGTTTTCCCCTAGAGTGCGGTCAGGAGGAGGGTCCGCACACCCGAGCCTGGCGGACATCACTGTTCATCGTGCTGGGGACGCTGCTGGCCTTGCTCTGTGCTGTCCTGCTCTGCAGAAGGTGAGCCTTTCTTGGGAACAGGTTGATAATGTCGCTGGGCGCGGTGGCTCACGCCGGTCATCCCAGCACTTTGCGAGGCTGAGGTGGGCGGATCACCCGACGTCAGGAGTTCAAGACCAGCCTGGCCATCTTGGTGAAACCCCATCTTTTAAAAAAAAAAAAAAAAAAAAGACACACTGAGACAGTGGATCGCTCAGCAAGGGTGCCCCTCGCCGGCAGTCTTGCCAGAAGAGCACCCCTGAACAAAGGAGACAGGGACATTTATGACTTTTTTTTTTTTTTTTGAGATGGAGTCTCGCTGTGACGCCCAGGCTGGAGTGCAGTGGTGTGATCTCGGCTCACGGCAACCTCCGCCTCCCGGGTTCAAGCGATTCTCCTGCCTCAGCCTCCCGAGTAGCTGGGACGACAGGCACCCGCCACCATAACTGGGTAGTTTTTGTATTTTTAGTACAGACGGGGTTTCGCCATGTTGGCCAGGATGGTCTCGATCTCTTGACCTCATGATCCGCCCGCCTCAGCCTCCCAAAGTGCTGGGATTACAGGCGTGAGCCACTGCGCCCGGCCACTACGATTATTATTTTATTCATTTATATGTTTATTTTTTGAGCCTCGCTCTGTCACGGAGGCTGGAGGACAGTGGCGCAATCTCGGCTCACGGCAGCCTCCGCCTCCCGGGTTCAGGCGTTTCTCCTGCCTCAGCCTCCCGAGTAGCTGGGACGACAGGCACCCGCCACCATAACTGGGTAGTTTTTGTATTTTTAGTACAGACGGGGTTTCGCCATGTTGGCCAGGATGGTCTCGATCCCCTGGTCTCGAGTGATCCACCCGCCTCGGCCTCCCAAAGTGCTGGGATTACAGGTCTGAGCTGGCAGGCCCGGACCCTTGAAAATTATTCACAGATCACGGCCCGTTTTCGTCCCCTAGCCATCCCCCGTCAGGACGTCTGTGGAGCTGAAGGTGAGGGCTCTGGTGGGACCGGGGGTGTCCCCAGGGTGCAGGAGGCAGGGCTCGTCCTCCCCAGCCCTGCCCTGTGAGACTGACAGTCACAGCGCGGAAAGCCGTACTTTCTGCTGGGGTGGGGCCCGGGTAAGGTCAACACTGCCCATTTGGACGGGCAATAGGATCCGTCTTGCATGCCAAGTCTGGGTTTTCGATCACCAGCTGGGTCCCCCCAGTTCCTGTGTCCTTCTCGCTGGCTGTCAGAGCCCCACAATCTGTCAAATGGGGGCCGGGCGCGGTGGCTCACACCTGTCATCCCAGCACTTTGGGAGGCCGAGGAGGGCGGATCACAAGGTCAGGAGTTCGAGACCAGCCTGACCAACATGAAGAAACCCCGTCTCTACTAAAAATAGCAAATTAGCCAGGCAGGGTGATGGGTGCCCGTAATCCCAGCTACTCTGGAGGCTGAGGCAGGAGAATCGCTTGAACCCGGGAGGCGGAGGTTGCGGTGAGCCGACATCATGCTCACTGCACTCCAGCCTGGGTAACCGAGCGAGACTCCATCTCCAAAAAAGAAGAAAAATCTGTAAGGCCAGATGCAGAGGCTCACGCCTGTCACCCCAGCACTTTGGGAGGTGGAGGCGGGCAGATCCCCTGAGGTCGGGAGTTCAAGAGCAGCCTGTCCAACATGGAGAAACCTCATCTCTACCAAAAAAATCCAAAAATTAGCTGGGCGTGGTGGCGGGTTTCTGTCATCCCAGCTACTCGGGAGGCTGAGGCAGGAGAATCGCTTGACCCCGGGAGGCGGAGGTTGCGGTGAGCTGAGGTCCCACCACTGCACTCCAGCCTGGGTGACAGAGCGAGACTCTGTCTCTAAAAAAAAAAATTCTGTGAAATGGGTGTCAGGTGACTTGTCTCCCAGAGGGCTGGAGGAGGAGGAGGGGGTGGTGGCTGCTTCCGGCTGCGGGCTCAGGTCATCACCTCGGTGATCTGAGGGAGCAGGGCCTTCGTGGGAGGCGGGGGTACCAGCGCCCAGTTCCTTACACTCCTGAGTCAGGGGGTGTCTGGGCCTTGGGGGCAGGGAACATACAGGCCCCCTGAGCAGGTGACTTGAGCCTTTTGCTTGTTCTTGGCGTCCCTACGGCCTCTTCTGGACGCCTGAGTCCCCCCGGCTGATGAGGTGGTCGGTGCCGGGTGCAGAGCAGGGTGGCTTCTCTTTCCTCCCAGGTACCTCGTGATGGAGAGGCTGTTTCCCCGCATCCCTCACATGAAAGACCCCATGGGTGACGGCTTCCGAAATGACAACCTGGTACGTTGTGCTTCCTACCGAGGGAGGGGGCTGGGGGCCTGGCGGGCACTTTGGGAGGCTGAGGCAGGAGGACGGCTTGACGCCAGGGGTTCGAGACCAGCCTGGCCAACGTGGTGAATAAAACCCCGTCTCTCCTAAAAATAGAAAAATTGCCGGGCGTGGTGGCGCACGCCTGTAGTCCCAGCTACTGGGGAGGCTGAGGCAGGAGAATCACTTGAACCCGGGTGGCGGAGGCGCCAGTGAGCCAGGAACGCACCACTGCACTCCGGCCTGGTGACAGAGCAAGACTCGGTCTCAAAAAACAAAATTGCTGGGCGTGGTGGCTCAGGCCTCTAATCCCTGCACTTTGGGAGGCCAAGGCGGGCGGATCACGGGGTCAGGAGATCAAGACCAGATTGGGCAACTTGGTGAAACCCCGTCTTTACTAAAAATACAAAAATTAGCTGGGCGTGGTGGTGCGTGCCTGTCATCCCAGCTACTCGGGAGGCTGAGGCAGGAGGACTGCTTGAACCCGGGAGGTGGAGGCTGCAGTGAATGGAGATCGCCCCGCTGCACTCCGCCGGCCGAGGCGTGAGAAGGGATGGTTTGGGAGGCGGGATGCTTGTCCAGCTGTCCTGACGGGCGGCTGAGAGGAGCTGCAGAATGAAGGGGGTGGGGGACGCTGGACTCCCAGCCCACCGTGATCGCGGGCAGTCAGTGCACCCTGCACCCCAGGGCAGAGCAGGTTTGAGCCTGCACAGCCCCGAGAATTAGGACATTGTGTGTCTTGTGTGGGTGTGGCCGACTCACCCGGCCTTACCTTTGTTCTTTTTTGAGACGGAATCTCGCTGTGACGCCCAGGCTGGAGCGCAATGGCGTCATCTCGGCTCACGGCAACCTCCGCCTCCGGGGTTCAAGCGATTCTCCTGCCACAGCCCCCCGAGTGGGTGGGGTTAAAAGCATGCGCCACCACGCCCGGCTAATTTCTGTACTTTTAGTAGAGGTGGGGTTTCTCCATGTTGGCCAGGCTGGTCTTGAACTCCTGACCTCAGGCTGGTCAGCCCGCCTCAGCCTCGCAAACTGCCGGGGATGACAACCGTGAGCCCCCGCGCCCGCCTGCGTGGCCACTTCCTCTTGCCTTCTCCCGTCTCTGCAGGTGGTCTGGGAGGCGGGCAGGGCCGGCCTGGAGGAGTGCCGGGTGACGGAGATACAGGTCGTGGAGAAAACCTGACACCCGGCTCAGGGCCCGTCAGGGCTGCCTGCTTCTCCCTGGCCGGGCCGGGCGCCCGCACAGACTGGGTGCCGGACGCACGTTTCTAACGGTGGTGGGCACGGGAGAGGCCCCTGCTGTTCGGTCCCAAGCTGCCGGGAAGAGGGAAGAACAGAACTGTGTGTTTATTTGATAATAAACTGCTTTTTTCCCGCTCACTGGTCCCTGTCTCGGATTCAGCCACGTCCCTCCAACACTGTCAGAGAGCCTTTTCAGGTGTTTGGTTTTGGATTCAGAGTGTGGCTGTCGCCCAGGCTGGAGTGCAGTGGTGTCTTCTCGGCTCACTGCAACCTCTGCCTCTGGGGTTCAAGCACGTCCTGCCTCAGCCTCCCGAGTAGCTGGGATTACAGGTGCCCGGCACTACTCCTGGCTAATTTTTTTGTATTTTTAGTAGAGACGGGTTTTCACCCTGTTGGCCAGGCTGGTCTCGAACTCCCGACCTCAGGTGATCCGCCCCCCTCGGCCTGTCAAAGTGCTGGGATGACAGGCGTGAGCCACCGTGCCCGGCTTCCAGTGACTTATAACAAGGTTTTCCGGTACTTCCGGGAAGCACGTTTGCTTTGCTGCTTTTTGAGTGTGTGACACGCCAGGACCGGCCTTTCCGTCCTTCCCACCCCTGGGTTGTGCACAGGACCCTGGATGCTGTTGTCCTTTCATTTTTTGGGGACAACGTACCCCCCGTTGCCCAGGCTGGGGTGCAATGGCGATCTCCGCCTCCCGGGTTCAAACAATTTTCTGGTCTCAGTCTCCTGAGTAGCTGGGATTTCAGGCGTGTGCCACTGCACCCAGCTGATTTTTTTTTTTTTTTTTTAATTTTTAGTAGAGACAGGATTTCAACACGATGGCCAGGCTTGTCTTGAACTCTTGACCTCAGGTGATCCGCCTGCCTCGGCCTCTCAAGAGCTGGGCTGACAGGCGTGGGTCACCGCGCCCGGCTGCGCCGCTGGTCTCTTTCAAGGCCACCTTACAGCGCTTTCGTAGATGCCGCTAAAAAAGCCACGCACCTCTGTACCTGCAGGAGACTGGAACTGCCCGTATCTGGCGGGGGCTGTGCCCTGGCAGGTTCAGTCGTGCTGACAGCCTGAGGCCAGCCTGGGCTCTTCTCTGCCCCAACCTCATACCCCAGGGCTGGGCACTGGCTTCCCTTCCCATCCCCTCCCCAGGCCCTGTCTCCGCGATGTGGGGTCTTCCTGACCGAGCCTCTGCTGAGTGTGAGGCCTTGGGCTGCACCCACTACCCCAGTGAGGGTCAAACTGAAAACGGGCTCATGGAGGCACAGGACAGGACGCATCAGCATGGTCTGAGTGTGGTGGAGGCCAGACGGCCAGGGCGGGGCGTCCTGGTGCAGGGCGAGGGAATCCAGACAGCGTGACGCTGGCAAGGAGGGTGCCCGCCAGCCCCCTGCAGCCCCGGGGGACAGTCTCAATGCCTGAGGATCTAACTCCTAAAACACGGAACCCACCCAGGAAGCCAGTCGAAGGAAGGAACCGTGATGTTTTTCTGAGGTTTTTTTAAGGCGTTTCGCTCTTGCTGTCCAGGCTGGAGTGCAGTGGCATGACCTTGGCTCACTGCAACCTCCACTTCCTGGGTTCAAGTGATTGTCCTGCCTCAGCCTCCCAGTAGCTGGGATTACAGGCGTGGGCCACCACGCCCAGCTAATTCTGTGTGTTTAGTAGAGATGGGGTTTTCACCATGTTGGCCAGGCTGGTCTGGAACTCCCGGCCTCAGCCTCCCAGAGTGCTGGGATGACAGGCTAAGCTACTCCTCCAGAGCAGAACTGTGACTTTGGCAGTTCTCTTGAATCACGCCCCCAGCCACGTCATCACGTGTTATTTCCTGTGGAGTTACCTCCAACACGCGGCTTACCCAGCGCCTCGCCATTTCCAGATTCTGCAGGACCGGCCGGTTGAATCACTTGAGGTTGAGAGTTCACAACCAGCCTGAAGGGCATGGAGGAATCCCGTCTCTGCTAAAAACACAGAATTAGCTGGGTGTGGTACGGGGTGCCTGTAATCCCAGCTACTCGGGAGGTGGAGGTTGCGGTGAGCTGAGATCGCACCATTGGGCTTCAGCTTGGCCAACAAGAGTAAAACTCAGAGAACAAACCCGCCGCCCGCCCGGGAAACCAGTGGAAGCCGCCCCATTAATCCCCCAGGAAGGAACCGTGGACTTTTTTTAAGAGACAGTCTGGCTTTTCCCCCAGGCTGCAGTGCAGTGGCGGGATCTCGGCTCACAGCAGTCCGCCCACCTCCCAGGTTCAAGCGAGTCTCCTGCCTCGGTCTCCCAGGTAGCTGGGATTACTGGCAGGTGCTACCATGCGCCGCTAATTGTGTTCTTAATAGGGACGGGGCTGCAGCATGTTGGCCAGGCTGCTCTGTCATTCCAGCACTCTGGGAGTCTGGGGGAGGACGATCACGAGGTCAGGAGGTTGACTGTCTTGGCCAATGCAGTGAAATGTTGCCTCTACCAAAAATACAGAATTAGCCGTGTATGGCGCCAGGCGCCCGTAATCCCAGGCACTCGGGAGGCCGAGGCAGCAGGGAAACGGGATCGCACCACTGCACTCCGGCATGGGTGACAGGGACTGCTGCCCACACCCAAAAACATCCTGCCTTTTGCGGCCGGGATTTCTGGACAGCCCACTGCTCTCCTGGAACGCCACGGCTGCCGTCTGCGTCCCGGCCACGGGCTGACGCCACGAAGGTCCCACGTTGAGGCCGGTGGAGACTAACGTGGCGTTTCCTCCCCTGCAATGGCTGTTGTGTGGAAGCGCTTGGACACAGCTGCCGTACCTGGCAGTGAGCACCCTTCCTGGCGCACGGGCAACAGCATCCACTGCGGGGACCCGAACTCCACTCGGTGCTGGAATGGAGGCTCCAGGGACCCCAGGGAGATGCCAGCAGGCAGTCAGGGAATTCAGGGGATCAGGCCTGCCTCAGTTTCCCCAGATTCAGGTTGGAACCTTCTGTCCAAGCGATGCCACTGGAAGTGGGGCGTCTCTGGGGAGAGGGGTGGCTCATGCCTGAAATCCCAGCCCTTTAACAGGACAAGGCGGGTGGGCCACTTGAGGTCAGGAGTTCAAGATCAGCCTGACCAATATGGTGAAACGCCATCTCTACTAAAAACACAGAAGGTAGGTGCCCGTAGTCCCAGCTACTGAGGAGAGTGAGGCAGGAGAATGGTTTGGACCTGGGAGGCGGAGGCTGTGGTGAGCGCTCCAGCCTGCGTGACAGAATGACTCTTGCCTCAAAAAAAAAAAAGAAAAAAAACTTGGAGGAGGGCACCTCTCTTCCCGGACTTCCAGCCTCCAGAGCTGTGAGGCGTGTGATTTACAAGCAACCCAAGGTGCTGCGGCCATACGAATGTTTTCACAGAAGGCGCCGTGGGGGTCTCGCCATCTACTGGGGAGCCCGGCTCCCTTCTGCCAGCTGTGGTTTCAACCCCACCCCTTCCCAGCTGGGACCCCATCATGTCCCGGGGGTGCTGGGAGGAGGCAGCACCCAGGCCAGGGGCATGGGGGAGAGCATGCAGCCCTGCCCGTGTCCCTGGACCCAGCGCCCAGCTCCGGAGCCCGGGCTGGTGCTCCTCTGCGCGATGTGATTCGCAGTGGGACTGCCACACGTGGAACCTCGCGATGTGATTCGCAGTGGGACTGCCACACGTGGAACCTGAGTACAAGTACCTGCCGTGGAAAGGACGGGCAACGCTTACGTAGAAACAGAAGACATGGTTCTCTTGTTTTAAATAAATAATTAAACACGACTTGGGTCCTACAAGCATCTGGACTGCAGGTCTGAGCACTGGAGTGTCTCACCCGGGGCCCGAGGGGACGCCCTGATTCCCTCCCCTCGTGATTAAGACATGGAATCGGGTGCCGATGGCTGCATCACAGTGCGCCCCTTTTCTAGAACCTTCCCTGGCTGTCTACAGGCAGGATCCGACTGGGAAAGAGACTGGAATTTCTGGAAGGTCGGTGGTCCGCTCGGTTCAGGATTCTACGTGATTGTGTTGGTGTGTGTGTGTGCGTGTGCGTGTGTGTGTGACGGCCGCGCCCTTAGATGACCTTCTTCAGCTCATCGTACAGGACCAGCACGAAGGCGCCCCCCATGCCGCCGAGGACGTTGGACCACACGCCCTTGAAGAAGGCCTTGCCCCCCTCGTCTCTGAAGATCTTCCGCCAGCAATCAACGGTGCCCGTGTACATGATGTCAGCTGCAATGAGAGGCAGAGTCAGGGCATCGCCGCATGTCCCTCAGGACGCGGACGCCACCTGGACCCCGCAGACGCTTCACAGAAGGGACATCCCAGACGCCTGAACCGCAGTACTGATTACAGGGGGGGAAACTGAGGCTCTGGTTACCAATCGCCCCCAGCTCAAGCTGTCCTAAGCCACTGTCTCCACAACAGCTTGACAAGGGACTTGAGGCCCCACCTGGGGAGCCCCCCAGGTGCACCCCCGCATCCAGGCAGAGGGCAGGAGTAAGGGTGCCTATGTGAACAGCGGTCCTAGGAGGTGGGGATTTTCAGATCGCTGCCTGGACCATGAAACCTCAGAACTATCACAAGCTGATCAAGCAGGAAAACGCTTCCACACCGCTGGGTTACTGCGTGACGCGCCACTGCTAACAGGCCCCGGGGAGTGCGTCCTTCGAGGGGTCCCGGCCCACCACGGGTGCACCCCCAGGAGCCCCGGCCCCCCTCCCCGCCTCCCCAGCCCGCGCGGTACCTCCTTTGCGCACGCCCAGGAGCCCCGGCTCCCCTCCCCGACCCCCCATCCCGTGTGGTACCTACTTTGCGCACGCCCAGCAGCCCCGGCTCCCCTCCCCGACTCCCCATCCTGCGTGGTACCTCCTTTGCGCACGCTCAGGAGCCCCGGCTCCCCTCCCCGACCCCCCATCCCGCGTGGTACCTCCTTTGCGCACGCCCAGGAGCCTCGGCTCCCCTCCCCGACCCCCCATCCCGCGTGGTACCTACTTTGCGCAAGCCCAAGAGCCCCGGCTCCCCTCCCCGCCTACCCAGCCCGCGCGGTACCTCCTTTGCGGCCCGACTGCATCATCATGCGCCGGCGCACCGTGTCGAAGGGGTAGGACACCACGCCGGCCACCGCCGTCACCGTCTGCGCGATCATCCAGCTCACCACGATGTGC